ACTTGAGAGGGATGGTACCTATTCTGAGGATGAAAGGGATTTCAATTTTGAACCTTGTTGGTGTTGTTGTTGAGGCGCTTGTTGTGATTCTTGTTCTAATCTTCATGTTCTTCCCATTTGGCTTCAACACAGCTAGAGTTCGGTTCTGGTTGAAGTTGGTAGTCTTCTTGTTGTTTGACACGACTAGAATTTCCATCTTCAATTCTTGTTTCATGGCCTCTTCCTCAATGCGAAGTCAAGTGATCAAGCTTTCTGGAGAAAACTCCTTTGTTTTGTGGCACAGTGAGTTCTTGAAATTTTTCCAGGTTGGTGGCAACTTATCAATGATGATGGCAACCTAAAATTGATCATCTAAAACCATGCATTTAGAAATAATTTCATGAGCAATTTTCTGTAATTCATGAGATTGTGCTTCAACAGATTTATCATTAACCATCTGATATTTTAAATAACGACTAACATTAAATTTCTTAGCCCCAACTTCCTCAATCTCATATTTTTTTCTGAAGTGCCTCCCATAAATCTTTAGTAATGCCATAATCAGAGTAGTAGTCATAAAGGTCATTAGACAATCCATTAAGAATATAATTCTTAGCAAGAAAATCATTTCCAATCCAAGTTTGTGAAGCTTTGGTTTGTGCAATAGTGGGCTCTTCAGGGATAGTTGGTTTGTCAGTGGTGCAAAAGGAAGCCAATTTTTTTTTGTGGTGAGAAAAAATAACATCTTCTGTCTCCAACGCTTAAAGTGGAGAGACCCTCAAACTTGGAAGGCTTGTTAAGGTCTGGTGTAGTGTTGTTTTCAAAATCCATGTCAGATTGAATACGTCTTAAAATTGTTGTAAACTAAAATAGAAAGGAACAAAGTTACCCGAACAAATGTAGAAGCCTTGAGTGATGAATGATTCTTAGGATGGGTCGCATACTAAGTCGCTCTCTTTAAGACGTTTCGCGGCTCTGTCCAATGTGTGCAAGCAGTTCACAAATATCACGTCATCCCCAAGATAAAATAGCCCAAAACCTTCTTCTTCTGATAAGGTTTTTCCGTGCACAACGGAAGAACCTTCGAACTCACACCCTTTTGATAAGTTACTATTAACTCAATATATGTAAAACTTGTAGTTCGTTTTTTTTCTGACTCTCGGGACTAATATATATATTACAAAGAAAGAGACGTTAAGGGTTGAGTTATTTGGGACTTGAAAACCGTAAGAAATCAAAAGGAAAAAACAAAACAAAACAGATCAAAATAGAAAAAGAATCAACACGAAATGATTATGGAAGGATTATGGATAAAGACTTGTTCTTCTTCTCTATACAGAGAAGGAATCTCAAAACAAATTTATGTGGTGCTAATTACTCCTTATTAATTGATAACGTTAATAGCAATTAGCAATTATATACTTAATATTTTTAATAAAACAAAGCATAAATATATATATATATATATATGAGAATATTTAAATAAAAACATAACTACTCCAACAATTAAGTATTAAAGAAGTTATGAATGTTTAAAGTTTACCTAGTTTCTGCGAGTTCCCTAGTTTTCCAGCAGACTAGTCACCTTTCAAGACATTTTTGCGACCATCTCTGGTAACCATTGGGCTTCCAAATAGGTATAATCCTGTTCTATACTTTCCTAACTTTGTTTTGATATAGTATGGATTGAATTTGGTTAAGAAACGAAGAAGTTACGAAGCTTTGAAAATTACCCAAACTTCCAGCCAAAAACCCCAATTTCCGGTGAGCTCCCGCAGCTCAGCTCAGATGAGTTAGCCGTTGACTTTCCGGTCAACGTTGACTTTTGGGTTGACTTTTTTGGGTTTCGGCCGGGACCCCTCCTAAACTAATTTCGACGTCCTGATTCCAAATCCGCGCTTCGTTTTCCCAAATTCCATTGTTTTAGTAGAGTTTTATTAATTGGTCCCTTTATGTGCTTAGGTGCGTTTGTTAGTGGCATTTCCGTCCTACCTAGTTCGAACGGCTATTCGGCGACGGAGTATCTGTGAGTGGACCCTTTCCAAAATGCATGATTTAATTACTAGAAATGCATACATGAAAATCATGATTTTATGACTACGTTTATGAGTAAATCGGATTTACGTTTTATGAATTATCATGCTTTATCGAATTTATGTTTACTGAGATATTTATGAATATGATTTATGATATGATGTTTGAGCTATAATGAGATATATTTTGGAAATATTATGTTCATGATTTTTTTGCTTACTTAGTGGTTATTCATACTATGTGCCTACGAGCAAATGATATTTATATATGGCTTCGGCCAGGAGATGTAGTGCCTACGGGCGTAAGATATTTATATGTGACTTCGGTCGGGAGATGTAGTGCCTACGGGCGGAAGATATTTATATATGGCTTCAATTGAGATATGTAGTGCCTAAGGGCGATTGTGATACTACTACTAAGCACACTATATACGATATATGTTTTATGAAGGTGTTATGGCATGCTAGGGTTTTCGGAAAACCTATTACTTATTATGCTATATGAGTTTTCTAAAACTGGGGGTTAGTACGTTGAAGATTAATTGTTTTAGTATTACATATATATAAACTTGGTCCACTCATGTTTTGTTTTACGCCCCCTCATGACTTAGAATTAAGGCGTACAATCTTGACGTCAAGGCATTCCTGCATTAGTATCTTCGAGCTTTCTCGTCATAGAACCCATTCCTTTGTTTGTTCAGTTTTATAATATTCCTTTTACAACGTTCTGAATTAGTTGTATGCTCTGAACACGTTCCACAATTACATATTCATTATAGTTAAATTTATGAGTTTTATTTATGTTCGTTCTTTCTTCATAGTTCTCATGCATGTTAGTATGGCTTCGTCACCTTCGAGTGTCACCAACACGTGCCTACTCTGGTGTTTGGAGGATATCGGGGTCGGGCGTGTCATAAAGGAGCCGTGGGTCAGGGCGGGTAGACAAGGTTCGGAGCGGGTATAGGGCGGGTCCAATTTTTTTAGAGGATAAGCGGGGTGGGGTGGGGCGTGTGCATTTTAGGGGCAGGCCGAGTCCTATTATTTAGAATAATGGGGCCTCGGACCAGCCCGTTCTAAATATAATGGATGGACTCGTCTGCTGCTTTCTCTCTCTCAGAATCCAGAGTTTCTAGACCATCCACTCCTGTCATATCCTCATTGACGACATCAACCTTTGTGACTCCATACTCGCTCTTCTCACCGCCGTCTCGACCATCACGATGGCACCACGTATCTCTCATCTTGGACGACATCCCGGAGAACCTAGGTCCCAAAACCACGACGACACCACCTATTTTTCCTCCTCAACGACATCACTGCCGTTGCGACCACCAACAACAAATCACCGCCATCGAGAACACTGCTAGCAACCATCTTCCTACTAACATTTAGGAAATTATGAATTAGGGTTTTTTATTTATGTGAATTTTTGGTTTAGGGATTTAGGGTTTTTTTTTAGGATTTGTAGATTTTGTCCTGGGTTCTCAATTTGGGGTTTACAATTTATTCTTTTAAATTTCTAGGTTAAGTATTGCCTAATAGTGCTTCTCCTATTGAGTTGGCTGTTGAGACCAAATTGGAACGGTGCTCCTTGAGGAGGAATCTGGTAGAATTCTGTTTTCGTGAATGTTCCTTCTTCAATTCTTTTATTTTATTTTAATTAATTATCTTTGCCTTCTTATACATTTTGTGTTGCTCAGTTTTAATAGTTAGTTGATTTTCTCCATTTAATAAAGCTTGATCGCATTAAACTTAATGGGAAATTTGATATGTACATGGATTTTTTTAATATTATTTTATTTTTAGATTTCTGTAATCGATGAGTTTGTAAATTGAATTTCTATATGATGTTTTTCAGAGATGAGTTTACATTCAAAGCTTTATATAAGATGTTTCATGTATGCGTATATTATATATATATATATATATATATATATATATATATATATGTATAGCACACAGAAGAATATGTGTGTGTGTATATAAGAATATATAAGAATTGATGTGCAGTGCACCCTCAATTTTAAAAAACAGTTCTTATGTGTAGAAGCGTGTGAAACAGATCTTGTAATTTTCTAAAACATGTATGTGTTGCTGCAGTGCTGTCGCGCAATGTAGTTTATAAATTACAGAAAAAAAGAGTTGGATCCGTGGACTTGTCCTGAATCGGCTCGTTTCAAACGGACTGAGGTTATGTCTGGTTCAAAAACTCAAAATCCTTCTACTCGGCCCATCCCGCTTCTTTACTGTTTAAAACGGATAAGGTCCAGTTTCTCCAAAATTAGGCCCGGCCTGGCCCGTGCCCCCGCTAATGCATATGTTGGAGCCTGAAAGAGGAGGAAATTTTTCAATGTGCTTGGAATACGTGGTGGATGCCATATGTTGTTATACAAGTAGAGTAAAGATTTTTTTAAAGTGTTTATCCGCTTGTATAAGGATACATATCTTATGTGCCTGTATTTTAAACACACCAAAAAATCTCTAAGCGAGAGACCGAAAGGCCTGAAGGCTGTCAATATGCAGTTTACTCGTGGCTAAATTTAGCATTGATTCAATGTGGGCAAGTGGCTTATAACATTGAGTGGAGATTGGGCCCATTTACAAAAGTGGAAAAGCCTAAGCATAAGCATACTCCAATTACAAAAGAAACTTTTGCTCGCGGGCAAAGTGGCTGGATTTAGCACTGATTCAAAGTGGGTAAGTGGCTTATAACCCTTGAGTGGAGATCGGTCCACTGGGAAAAGTGCAAAAGAAAAGACTGGAAGTATTTTTGCTCACCATCATTTAATGTAATATATGTTTAACATTTTATTTATTATTGTTAGATAAATTTAAATTTTTAAATTCGCGTAGTATTAAAATTTAAACTTACCTAAAAATGATAAATAAAATAGTAAATATATACTACATTAAATTAAATGATGATGAGCAAAAATTCGTAAGCAGAAGATATTCGAATTACAAAAGAAAGTTTTGCTCGCGGGTCGCATCCCATTATCGCAATTTGACCTTCTTTACGTCGGTCACTTATTATACCAGCAACCCAAAATTTAGAGAGAGAAAGAGGGGGAGAGAGAGAGAATGGGGCATGGAAGCTCGAAAGAAGAGAGTGAGAGCAGCCTTGCCGGGTCGGAGAAGTCTGCGAGGGGATCGCGTCGGTCTCGGCTGAAGCAGCGACTTCACCTTCACAGTCGTGCAAAGTCGGTGTCTCATCATAAACGCCTTGATGATGCCGGCGATTTCGCTGGAATTGCTCTGCTAACCCTCGTTCAGGTATATACATATGTATATCTATAATATATATGCAGTGTTTAAAATATCGGTATTTGTTGAAATATGGATATGCAAATTTGTAAAAATATCGACGGATATTGATATCGGTTGCTTTTCATGAAAATGAAGGAAATTTAAAATGAAACGTTAGCCATTGTCAAACATTAGTTTGAACGAATTAACAGATGTGACAGAAATATTGATGATACTTGTTCGATTTTAGCTTAAACTTAAAAGTTTCCGTGAAGTTTAGACTTCAATCCATTTCCATATTTTTCTCTGATTTTTTTTTTGGATATTTCCATGGAAATATTTGATGTTTCCTCCTCCTTCTCTTCTTTTTCTTCTATTAACATTGATTAAAATTGGATTAACATTGATCTGGGCTGCTTAATTATCTGTGTTTCTTGCGCAGGCTGAAATGAAGTTCAAGGACAAGTGGCTTGCCTGTCTCGCTTTTGGGGAGCAAACCTTCCGTACCAACATCTCCCCTCAGTAATAATCCCATCTCCAACTTCTCTGTTTTTTTTCTTTTATTTTATGTACTTGTGTATTTCAAATTACTTTATATATATATATATATATAATTTTTGTTTTTTAATTAGCGGTAGGAGTATTGAACTAGATTAATCTAAACTACGGAGAGGGAAATTTGAACACGAGTTTAGTGCCCGCATATATTTTATTTTCATAAAACAACCAAAACAGCAGTACATAGGTATAAAAACAGCAGTAGCAGATGTATGGTCACGGACACGGATACAAGGATACGACACGATACGGGGATGCGTCAAATTAACAGGAAAAAAAATTGCTGTATGTCCACTAGGGAATACGATACGACACAGGGATACAACAGGACATATACGAGGGGATACCATTGTGTACATGCATCGTCGCAGTACATAGATAAAAACACCAACATGGAAAGTCATTTAAAAAAGGAAGGAAACAAACAAGTACAAGACAGCTTCTGGTTGCAGAGCATTCAATTCTCTATATGCTACACAAATTCTTTCCTATGATATAATGTTATATTGTTCTTCAATAACATTTCGGCTTAATTCTGAACTTCGTGTATTAATTTGTTTTACTGGTGTTGGTGTTGCAGAACAGACAAGCCCGTCTGGAACTCTGTAAGTACCTGAAACCCAATACAGTATCTTATTATGGAAAAACACGCGTGCTTTGATCTGTTTTCTTAATCTTAAATTCTTAATATATTGACTTAGTATCTGTGCAAAAAAAGGCATGCTCATTGCTTAGGTGATGGTTGTTATACCGGTTTTGTCTAACTTTCCTTTTCAATGGAGTGTTTATGGATATCAGATGATTGTGTGTTTGATTGGTGTTCACTGAAGGCTGTTTATCTTTACTCTAGTAAAGCTATTGGGACATCTTTACACTTACGAGATTTAAACTAAAAGTCTTGCTACAAATACAGCTACACACAGCAGCCTTTGTCTTATATAGTTGTTTTTTACACTAACATTGCTCCCTCCAGGACAGTTTATATCTTTTGTAGGATTTTATAGAGCCTCATTCATGGTTTAGGAACAAATGTCATTGCTGTTAATTACTATAGCAACAGTTGAATTGAAACATGGTGTCTATTGCGCTCCCTTTCTTCCTGTTAATTCTAAACTTGGAACAACAGTTCTTTTGGCACCCATGGTATGTTTTGCCTGCATGCTTGAGAATTATTTCGTATTTTTATTTTTGTCTTCTTTTGCAGGATCTCCTTTCTATTTTTGTACAGTTTCCAATTATTCTTAATAGGGAAAATCATATATATGTCCTGTTTCCGATTTAAAAAAAAAAAAACTACATACGGTTTTAGATTCTCCCTGCATTTTGTCTCCTTGGTTCTCAGATCTCCATATATTTTCTATTGTTTAATTTGTGATGTACAAGATGTTCAGATTGATTTTTGAATGATATTTTTTATGATAGGCCTGACACCCTTGTTATTATTAAGTAGTCTTTGTTTCTTGGTATGAGCTCTTGAGCTGAAAATGACCCTCTGCAACTCCTTTGATTTTCAGGAAAAGAAACTTCTTTTGGAAAAAAATGGGCCTCATCTTGCAAGGATCTCCATTTTCGAGGTATGCAGTAAGTTTATTTATTTACCGTAGTGTCCTGGAACACACAATTTCTTCCTTGGTAAGTATGGTATCATATGGCAAGGACAGATATGGCTGTGGTGTCTGGGACTGCACTGTGTCATAGAATTTGGAATGCTTTTTCACTTTTTTTTAAGAAGAAACGATAGAATTTTATTAAAACAACAGAAGGAATTACAACAAGTGGATAAGAAATCCACCAACTAGCAAAACTAGCTAAGAACTCTCAAGTAGGACTACTTTACAAGTAGGGGAACACAGCCTTACCCTTGCTTTGCAAAGAGGCTGTTTCCACGATGAAGCCGTGACCTTTCGGTCACAAAGGAGGAGCATTTCCGCTGCTAATACCATTTTGAGAATTTGCCTTGTGTACATGTCTGTGTTTACTTATGGCATGCCATGATTATTTACTGCAGAATGCCATGGTGTTTTTTCTTGCTCTATTACAATTTGTGTATATTTTTCACTTATTCAAGTTATTATGCAATGCAGACGAATAAAATGTCCAGAAACAATCTGGTAGGATATTGTGAGATTGATCTACTTGAATTTCTAGCCAGAGTGAGCTACCTTCTATGTTGAAATAACTCTCTCTCTCTCTCTCTCTCTCTCTCTCTCTCTCTCTCTCTCTCTCTCTCTCTCTCTCTCTCTCTCTCTCTCTCTCTCTCTCTCTCTCTCTCTCTCTCTCTCTCTTGTCTGTACCAGACTACCTCTCTCTCTCTCTCCCTCCCTCCGCTGAGCATAAAATGTTGTTGTTGTTGCAGGATTCAGATTCCAATTCTGAGACATTGGACTTGTTAAATCCATCAACATCAGACAAGATTGTCGGAAAAATTTGTGTTTCATGCTCTGTTGAGGTGTGCCATGTATAAATCTAGTTTCTTTGATTAGTCAGTCTATTTAGGAGTAATAACACTTTGCTGGAAAATTTGACAGGACCCTATTGAAACAGAAAAGAGTTTTGCAAGGCGTATCTTATCTATAGTGGTATGTTCCAATTGCATATGTACTCATATATTAGAAAATGTTCTTAAATATTTTATTAACATCATTTGATCTTCACATTGACACATCTATGTTGATCTTAACAGTTCTGCTATATTCTACTTCTTGTCCACTATAACATTGCATGTAGTTAAGATATAGTTTCTACTGCACTGCATCACCTTGGGCTGAAGTTCTAATTATGCAGAAACTTTAGTGACATTAAAGTCTTTCCTTGATTGGAAAAGTGCACTCTAAGGTTACATGGAAGATAAACTTGATTCAGTGGTAATTTTGTGTAAATATTACTTCAACCACCTCATTAACGACCCATAGTTCAAAAAGTTAAAAGAAGCTCAAAGGTACAATAACAAGCTTGGTTTATTGCTCATGAGAAAGTAGTGCTTTTGTTATTGAAAGGAAAAGAATAACATGTAAAAGAAAAAATAGAAAGGAATAACAGATATTTAATTCGGGGTTACTAATGGAGAAGCAGTGGACTTCTAATGGGACAGGATTATCATTTTTGTGGGGCTTTATTTCTAATGATTTTAGAGACTGGCCTTTCTTGTTGAATGTTGGGTGAGAGTCAGTAGAATTAGCTTATGTGTTGCTGTTTTTGGTTCTCTTTTTGTTTGAAGGATCATGCATTTCAAGTTTGTTACATTGTTTGATATTATTTCCTAGCCTGAATGGAAATATTTGGTTTCTTGAGTCTATTTTCTTGCATGTCTGTTTTCACTATATTAATTGAGGATCATAATGTTTGCATATCAAGCTGATCCATCATTTAAAAGGCCAAATTTCTTGCAACGTTCAATTTTGGCTTCAATAGTTTCTCATGGAAAGTCCTTTAGGATCCTCATATTATTCTCAGTTTTGGCCAAAGAATATCATGTTTTTCCAATTCTTTTCAAACATCTATTGTTTACAACCCATGCATATGGCCACATGAATGACGTTCATCTTTCTTTTGGAAGTTCAAGAGGATAATATATTGGGCCTGTTTGATAATATGTATTATTTGTTTTTTCAATTAATGACTCAGAGAGGTAGAGGAGATAAATACTAAAGATGAGAGAGGTGAGGTTGAGAGATTTTAGATGGGTTTTAGTTTTTGTTGTATACTTTACCATTATCTGTAATATCTTTCTATAAATTTAGACCATCAAGTGAGACAGAGGCATGGCCAAACTGAGCCAAATGTGTGATTCAGTCCATACGGAGTACATTTGTCGAACTAGGCCTCACACTCGTATAAGTGCCTGCTATCCACCCTAAAACTTGTAATGGGTGGAGTGACCCAGGATCTTATATATTATCAAGCAACGCTTGGAATTTCAGATGCAAAACTTTATATTCTCAACATCTATTTTCTCCGATTTTTTCCCCAATTTTGATAATCCTTCTCAACTCTTTAATTGGAATATAAAAACATAAAAGGCAATAAAACAGAAACGTCATCAAACGAACCAATTTATGTGGGTATATATGATATAAGGGCTGCTGTAGTTTGGATTTCATTCATGAAATGTTAGGATGTTTAGTCTGTGTTTCTGTTGTTGGGCAGTCTAATTTCTGTTGTTTCTTTTTATAATGAATCCATGTTTTTTCTTTTTTTCCATTTTTAAGCTTTTATCGCCCGTAGTAATTGAAATATGATCTTGTCATATGTCATATTGATGCCTTGTATTCTTATGGCGTAAAGCTGAAGATTCTGAGATATTGTACTGTTCACAGGACTATAACGAAGATGGAAATCTTTCTTTCTCTGAATTTTCTGACTTAATTAATGCTTTCGGGAATCAAGTGGCAGCGAACAAGGTTTGGACTTGCGTATTTATTTATATCTTTGTATCTATATTTCTATTTTCAAAATTTGTTTGAGATCTCTACTCGTGGACCTTATGGAGTTTGCATGGATGCTGTAATTTGCATTCAGCTAAACGAACACGTATATAACCATTTTTAATCCAATTGAGTTCATTTCAAGCTCACTGTAACACACTCAATACACATTTTTAATTTGTTCATGGGTCATGGCTCATCTGAGCCTAGCTCCTAAGTCTAAGTGCCTTTTGGTGTGTGCTCAGTACATGAAACTAACATCCACAACTATACATTTGGCCTCCAATTTCAGATGTCTTTGTTACTTTGTGATACATTTTTAGGCCTGTCTGTCCTTTTCTTTTCCTTTGGTTCAATTGTCTCAGAAATGTCTTCCTTCCTTACTAGAAAGAGGAGATTTTTAAAGCTGCTGACAAGAACGGGGATGGTGTTGTTAGCATGGATGAATTGGCTGCCCTTCTTGCCATTCAACAAGAAAAGTAATGATACAAGTAGAAGTTAGAAGAGTTTTGAACCATGAATTGCTACTGTATATGTTACTATTTTGATCTCTTTGCATATCATCACACCTCAAAACAAGACAAAAAAATATCTCTAAGCCTATGCAGTGTTGAAAATGTGAATTTTATTATTTTTCAGCTTCCATGGCTGTCAACATATGTCCATTTGGGGTTATATGTCATACTTATAGTTGTTGTATGTTTATCAGACGAGAATAAAAAATCTTTAGGTTTTATACTGTTTTTAAGTTTTGGAGAAAATTCCCTTAGAAAAGTTTATTGAATTGTTGTTTGATAGGTTTTAGAAAAATACTTCTTAGTTTTCCTTACATTTAAAAAAAATTATGCTTACTTCTGTTTGGAATGGCTTCAACTCAACATTAGATCTAGGAAGAAGAATTATTTGACAAAACTAGAGGCTATGCTCATGTCGTGGAAAAGGTTAGCTCATAAGGGTAATTTCTATTGAAACAAACTTAGACTAATTAAAAGAATGAAAGAATTTCCAGCTTAGGAAACTATTGTCCATTCAAAGAAAAAGGGCCTTACTTGTTTTGTTGCCAACTTCAATTGCTATTATGTTTAACACGAATACGAGTTGAGACCATTGGTCAGCACATTCTTGTTGGGCTTGTGAGAAAAATTATGGCTAACTGCTCCTAAATTAGTTTGGCCCATCGATTATGTACTTTGGAAACAGTTTTATAATTCTTACAATTTAGGTTCTTTCTTACTATTACCCTTTTTTATGCCAGACCTAAGTTTTCATTTTATTTATTTTATACCATGATTTTCAGTTTAATTTAAATGCAACTTGTTTGAATGTAGAATTTCCCTTTAGTTCTCATTCTTGAGAAGATGAATAAAACTATTTTGCTTTTCAGGGAACCACTAATGAATTGCTGTCCTGTTTGTGGTGAGACTCTTGAAGTCTCTGATAAGCTGAACTACATGATCCATTTGACCCTATGTTTCGATGAGGGGACCGGAAAACAGGTCATGACTGGAGGATTTTTGACCGATAAACAGGCTTCTTATGGGTAATAATCTTGTCATATTAACAGGCTTCTTATTGTTGGTGATTCATTTCAGTTGAGTGGATATATCAGTGTGTGCTATACTTGGTATACTAAGGTCATACGTATCTGTAGGTGGATGTTTAAACTCAGTGAATGGGCCCATGTTTCATCTTATGACATTGGTTTAAACTCTGGATCGAGTGCTGCTCATATTGTGGTATACTTTCTTGGTTTAGCTTACTTTTAGATCTGCTAAAGGTTAGATAGATATTTATTGTTTTTTTCGTTTTAAATATGAATCCCTTTCCATAATGGTATTCATGCTTGAGGTTTTTAGTTGCGACACCGTTCAGACTTTCTCCCTTGCATTGTATATCTGCCTTGCCCTGCCCTTCCCTTGATGTTGTATGTTTTGTAGACTATGTTTTAGCCGTAACGACAAATTGAAAGTTTAAAATGATGCACAAGTGACGAGAGACGGACATGTTCAAACCTTATATTTTGCATGAGTTGAATGAACTCAAGTCTTGTTTGTTCGATTATGAAATGTTTTCATAAGATCTTAACAGTACCACTAGAATGGAACCTCTAGTGTTGAGGTGTTGTATGTTAATGATGTGTTTACTATTGTTTTTTAATTATATGGATCACTTTCCGTGTTGGCAAGTTCAAATAATTAGAGCATCCAACCCAAAACCAGTTGCATGATATAATAAAAAATTGATCATATTACCAGAGAGCTTAACTGGTATGCATCATAGTGGTTGTTAACCTGGTAAATTTGTTCATTTTTCTCCTCTAGTGTGCCATTGAAGTATTGTAGATGTGATTCAATCTGCTATGTTCCAAAATGTAATTCTTTTTTACTTTATTTTTCCATTAACAGTTTATTGCTTCAGGTATTTGATCGGAGGACAAAGAGACTTGTGGAAGAACTGATAGATGAAAAGATTGTTTTGTCTATGAGAGCTATTTACCAGTCAAAACTAGGGCTTGGCCTTTTGGATACAGGTCTGTATTAATTTGAAAATGTAAATACGTGTTGTATCTAATGAAGATGCAGAGGATGTGTTGTGACTCACGAGCACCTTCCTCTTATCTCAATTGACATCTTGTATTACTCAATAAATTCCTTAGGACCATTGACCTTATTTACCTTCCATCTTTTCTATCAACAATGTCAGCTTCCTTATCCTCTAATAAGTGCAATTTGTTTTTAATTGCTTTTGATTTAAGTTCAATAATCTGATATTAACAACTATAGTTTCAGTTTGCTCATGGTCTTTACCCATGGCCGTGGGGACAGGTTGGTTGTAACTTGTAGCTACGAACACTATCATTATATCTACCCACGCTAAATCTACTTTCACAGGAGACTTGTGGCTTTGAACTGACCGTCAATTGCCTATCCAAATAATAATAATAATAATAGTTCCTAACTTTTAGAGTTCTTTTGCTAGCTAGCAGCAGGTTTTAGTTTCTCTGAATTCTTTGGTCACTTTTTAGTTTTTATTAACCTTATTTTTATTAATATGGTTCACCAATTTAATGCAGGGGCAAAGGAGCTCCTGCAGAGCATCTCTGAAAAGCAAGGGAGGAAAATGAACTCAGTTGAATCTGCTAAAGATATACCAAAATTTGTCGAATTTTTTAAGGCATGACACTTTTGTTAGAATAACATTCTTATTAATCTGTTATGAACTTTTTTGAATATGCTGCAATACATGGAAAAGACTGGGTTGTGTGTGCGATGCAGTAGCTACAACATTCTCATCACTGGAAACCCAAAATTAAGCTCTCTATTTGATATGATGTTCTTTCCTTTTGAACTGTTTTTTATCAGTAATGCTCAAGTTCGAATAATGTTATTGTACGTTCATGCTAAGCTGAAGCGACATCCATTTGATGAAGTTTAACTATTTTGTAGGATCAAATCAATTTGGCTGATGTTAAGCACCCTCTGGAACATTTTAAGGTAGGCTGGGGCTTTGGAATCGGATGAAATTCATCATGTTTACCTATGTATTAAAACAGTTCATTCTTGTTTGGCTAATTGATGCATTCTTCATTTTGGTTTAATATGTTTGACCAAATGTATCAAGGGGGTGTTCATGTTTTTCCGCTAAGCTGAAGTTGCATAAAGATGCGTTAGCAGCCCTAGCACAAGGCAACAGGATGCCTATATGAACAACTCTTACATATTAGTTGATTTGCAACCTCTTTTTCATTACTATTTCATACTTTATAAATTACCTTATGTTTTATTTCTGCATATTCAGTTCCCCACATGCATGTGCTTTCCTACCTTTATATGTGCCGAGTCAGTGAAAAAAATAACGTACCCTTTTTTGAGTCTACTTTAGTGTTCCCAGTTCCCCATGAATGGCCTTTCTTCACCCCCGCTAGTTTTTTCCAGTTGGCATGCAGGTGAATGCTGGTCTGTTGGGTGTCCTCTATTGTTTTTATAAATCCTGGACTCAAAAGCTGAAGTTTTTGTAGTTTGTAATTTTTATGTATTTTCTTTTCTCTTTAACAGATTGGCTGTTGGATCTAGTTTGGTTTCTTTTGCTTGTGAAATATTCTTACTTTTGCTGGAACGTTTGACATTTGACGTATTCCTTTACATTGTCAAGATGATAAACATCTCTAATTTCTGAATTTTTGCATGTAGACATTTAATGAATTTTTTGTGAGAGAGTTAAAGCCTGGAGCAAGACCAATTGCTTGTATGGATCGAGATGACGTTGCCGTATGTGCTGCGGATAGCCGTCTTATGGCATTTAAATCTGTTGATGAAAGCCTGAGATTTTGGATTAAGGTTATTTTTATCATTTTTACTTGAATTCTTGTTGATGACTTCATTATTTTCTCAAGATTTTTTGGTGCTTGTCTCTTCTTAGTTCCGGGAATTGAATTACATAATTATTTAATTTGAAAGCACGAAAGATGGAATTTAAATGATAAATGTGAACCCTTATTCAACTCAACCCTTATTCACTACCTTCTCAGAGACCTAAGATTATAAGGAGCTTGTCTAGAAATATTAATATACCAATGCAAATTATGCAATAAAGATATAGATTCTAATCATATATCTTTGTTCTGCCACTTCGCCTTCAATTGGTTAAAATAATGATGATTCATGTATTCATACTGTTAGAGTACCCAAGTATTGAGTGTTTGAGTACCCAAGATGTTACTGTATCATGCAGTGAAACCACCTCAAGTTGTTCAAATTGATTCATGTGTTTTGTCCAGTCTGGTCATTGAGTGGTTGAGTACCCAAGTATTGAACTCGTCACTTAATGAAAACATCAATTTGTGGGAGCACAAATCTTACATAGGTTAGAATTCTGATCTAACTTCTGAAAATAACTTACATTAACTAATCTTGAAGGTTACAACGATTCTGGTGTAGCCTCTGTATTGACATCTCTTCAGAAAGCAAGAAAGTTTGAGAGGCTAGGTCTTTGGAATTACGATTGCATGCCTTTACGTTATGTGAAAACGATAATTATATTCCCCTTAGAGTATTCCAGAAGATTGGAATCCTTTAGGAAGGAAATGCTAATGGAAGTCGAATTGTTTGTCAAGATTTGTAGATATTATTTTGTTTTATTTGGGGATGAGTCAACTTTATTGCTAACAAATAATAGATCTACAAGGAGCATAGCAAATGTGTTAAAATTAATAGGTCTGTTGGGTAATATTTCTTTTATATTTGGAGCTGTAATTTACTTATTATGCTTCTTAATTTTGTTCTTTATGTATTTCTGATTCTATTTTCTTGGTTTTTTTTCTTTAAATATTTTTAGGGTCGAAAGTTTTCAATTCATGGGCTTTTGGGGAAGGATCAATGTTCCAGTGGTTTTATTGATGGATCGTTGGTAATATTTCGTTTGGCACCGCAGGTATTTGTTATACTGTGCTTTGATTATCTTGTACTATGAAGTTGAACTTTGCATTATCTGATTTATATTTTGATATTAATCGTCTCTTATGGTTTCAGGATTATCATCGCTTCCATTTTCCTGTTTCTGGAACTATTCAGAAGATTGTAAATATACCTGGATGCTTATATACAGTATGTGATTGTAGATGATCGATATGACATGTTGGAAATCCTTGATTTGTCTTTTCTACAGATTTCCTTTTTTATTTTCCCTTAAGTTTTTCCTTTCTCCTTTTTCAGGTTAACCCCATAGCTGTCAATAGCAAGTATTGTAATGTATTCACCGAGAATAAGCGAGTAGTATCAATTATATCAACTGCAGAATTTGGAAAGGTTTGTTTCTACAATCATTTATATTTCCAAACTGTCAATTTCATTTCTGTTCACATAAAGTGTTCTCTTGGACATTAAGTAGTGATACATGCTCAGTCTATTCTGCTTATAAAAATGAGTTATATTGGTGCCTTAGGATGAAAAACTTCGACCGAAACTTTGAAATATCAGTCAATGTTTTTCGGCAGTGATGACACAAACATAGATGGAAGGTGGACCATTGCATCCTGTTGCCAGTCTTGGTGGAAATCTGAAAATTCCAATTTTTCCACATGATGGAATGTATTGTATCTAGGAAGATTTTTGAGCTGTTTAAATGTGCAGGGTGCGTTATGCCGGATTCATCATGTGGGTGTGTGGTTGGTGCACGCCATGTTTAGAAAGTAGTTTACAGAAAAAAAAAAAAAAGAAAAGTAAAACAAGGGACGATACAAAAGCAACCGCTTTCATGTGAACCAGCTGGAGAGAGCAATTTTTGGACTACAGATCCAGGAGACAATTTTCAATTTACTCGGCAAAAATTCGCCCATAAAACGTGGCTTGGGTTGGACTATATATAGCTTAATTAAAATGTGGATCCACAAAAGAGTTGGCCTTAATGAAGATGTGAGTCCATCAAATTGTTAGCTTACAAATATTACTTAAAGTAGGTTAAGCTTAAACAAGTATTATCAAAGATAGCATTTAATTCCAAAAATTGCTTGCACAATGATAGTTAAGATTCAATGCCATATTGTATCCTTGGGATTCCATTTTTAAGATTTTTACATTTTTAATTGATGGATTATGAATTGGTTTAGCATTTTCTAAAGGGTTCATTCAAGATTTTCATCTTTTTAAAATTTTCTTTCGCTTGAATTTTTTCATTACTACCAGTATTTGCTGTAAAAGCTGACTACCAATTCTTTCACTGACATTGACATTCTCAACCTCTAGCTAACATCTACTAAAAATATCTGACTACCTAGTGTTGCAATGCTGTTTGAATTCTAGAAAAGTAGAAGCATTCAGACTTGTTTCTTCAATGGTCAATTTCACTTGGAAATTGGGCTGTGCTATTATAATTTAAATATTTATTTCCTGTCACAGTGAAGTGCGTTCATTTGTGTTGGACAAAATCAGTGCTTTTTTGCTTTCCTAATTAAGAAGAGATGTATTTTTCTTGAGTAGTACTATTACCGACTCAGTAATATTAACGGTCTTATCTTTTTGCATTACAAAATGGATGTTTTATAAGTTTTCTGTACTTACTATTGCAGTGCCAATAGCAGTAGTGTAATTGTTTTGATCATCTTTTTTTTTTTTTTTTTTTTTCTTTCTGCAGGTGGCTTTTGTTGCAATTGGTGCGACTATGGTTGGCAGCGTTACCTTTTCAAAGAAGGAGGGGGACCATATTAAAAAAGGAGAAGAGGTTAAGATTCAATTTTTGAATTATTTTTCTTTTGCTTTAGACTTTGGAGTAGATGTTAACTATAGTCCTTGAAAACTTACCTGATTCTTCTGTCACATCCTGTTAGTTTTTCTATAATTTCAAGGGTTAAAAAATGTCTACTTGCATCATATATAATTGCCCAGCCTATCACCCTCCACTTTCCTTCTCCTATTTCCCCAAAATTGGAGATTAACTTCAATTTGAGATGAAAAAGTGGTTTACAACTTCAAACGGGAGAAGAAAATGAGAGGTGAGAGGCTAGAGAATTTATATAACATGTGTGGATATTTGTAACCCTAAGTTTTGACCCAAAGAAAAAACACTGACAGAAGGACCAAAGTGACGATTAAATGTTGGATGACTATGCAAGGAACTTGTAGTGGTTTAGAGCGTTTACCTCTGCACTCAAGGTCCCTATGTTCAAATCGCCAATAAAAATAAAAACTGTTGGACGACTCTCTGGAATTCAAAAATGGACCAATGTTAGAATCGGGTAATGGTGGAGAGAATATAACTACCTTTTACTCTATTTTATACATGTATATGATTGTACTTCACACATACAACTTCACACAGAAATAATGTGCTGATGTGCACTGTCCTTGTTTCTTATTGACATTTATGTTCACTCAATTTGCAGTTTGGCTATTTCTCATTTGGTGGAAGCACCGTAATTTGCGTTTTTGAAAAGGTTGGTATAATGATTGAAAAGGTGTTGGATGCGGATGTAAACATTGTTGCATCACTATTCTTCTCCTGTTTTGGCCTATTATCAGATAATTGACATGCCTAGCTTTTCTTCTTGTTTCGATTGCTTTTGAGTCTTTGACACAGATGGGGAGTAGTTTTGGGATTATGCGAAGAGTTGAGAGAAATTGATTTTGGTTTTTAAAAATTTTCCGGGTAGATGTGTTAGGTAGGTATGCGGGCGAGATGGGTATTTTCTAGTGCGAATAGAAGCTCTCCTAATCTAAAATTTAGGTGGTAAATCGTCGTAAGTTTGCTGTTTATGATTTATGGTGTCATGCAAGCTTATATCGGACTTTAACTGCTAGAAATGATTATTTCCATCTGGCTTATTTTGTGGGATGTTAACTATATGCAGGATGCCATTGAGATAGACGAGGACCTCCTATCAAACAGTGCGAGATCACTGGAGACGTTGGTTTCGGTTGGGATGAAGTTAGGCGTGTCCAAGAAACAAGCCAAGACTGGGTTGCCGAACTTGGAAAAATGTGTGTTGCAAGATTGAGAGGGCTAGTTCTTGTATGCTATGTTTCCGTATTCATGGTGCTGGACTAGGATTTCAGCGTACTCGACCGGTATTTGTAGTCTTGTAATAAGGATGGTTTAAAGGAACTGGTTGATGTGAATTCGATTCATCATAATAAAGCTGTGTATCTTATCAATTTGAGTTGCTTATTTTTGTGAATACAAATTGATACTCAACGAAAATGAAAGCATATGAACGCAAGTTGTAAACCATTGCGAGGGTTACTAAACCGAATCGTAGTTAATCACTTGTATCGACCGAGGCATTCTCGTCTGATTGTCGATTAAACTAAAACATGCTCCACTCACTGTGAACCTTGTATGATCCAGTGCAAAATATTTTACACGTGCATATAACAACAAAGTCTTATCTTATTAATTCCGGATGCGCCTGCACAAACGCATAAATTTCAGCAAGAATATGGAATAGCTACTGCTTTTAGAGGATACTTTCTATGGACCGTCGCACCCGTGGATTCCGTCATGTCTAGGTCCTCCCCTCTTGCACCACCAGGCAATGCCCAATCAAACTTGTGGACTAAATTTGCCAAAGCAATCTCTTTAACAGCCACAGCAAACTGAATTCCGGGGCAACCCCGTCTGCCAGCCCCAAACGGAATTAATTCGAAGTCCTTCCCTTTGTAATCTATGTCACTACTCAAAAACCTTTCCGGCTCGAACTCCTCTGGGTTGTTGTATGACTTGGGATCTCTTCCAATCTGCCAAGCATTCACTATAACTTGTGTGTTGGCCTTAATGTCGTAACCGTTGATTTTAACATCTTGGGTTGACATCCTGGGCAACAGTAGCGGAAATGGAGGATGTAAGCGAAGAGACTCCTTAATCACTGCCTTCAAGTAGTGCATTCCGACTAAATCATCCTCCGTTATGTCTGTTTTGTTTCCGACTATTCCCCGTATCTCGTTCTGCAATTTTTTCATTACTCTGGGATGCCTTAAAAGCTCAGACATTGTCCACTCTAGGGCTGTAGATGTTGTATCAGTGCCAGCCGAAAACATATCCTGCAAGAGTATTCATTGAACTATAAAATCAAGTTTTAATGCTTTATGTCACACATACAGCAGTAAGAGAGAATGTTCATTACCAAGGTGATGGCTTTGATGCAAACTCGATCGAGAGGAATAGGAAGCACGTTTTCTTTCTGAAGGGAAAGCAAAACGTCCACAAGATCCTTTTCGTCATCGTTCTTGACATGATCATCGCCATCCATATGCTTTTGAACAACTGTCTCTAAGAAGTCATCATATCGTTTAGCGAGATCATCTTGCTTAGCATCCAAACCATTGAGACGTGAGCACCAAGAAAGCCATGGGATGTAGTCACCAATATTGATGCGTGACATTATCTCCGTCAACTCCACGGTAAGCCCCTTAAACATCTTCCCATCTTCGTCACCATCGCTGTACTTGGTCCCAAGTGTAATTCTAGAGATAACATCATTAGTAAGCGTCAGAAAGATTTCGCTTAAATTAGAAACCGACGATGTAGTTGACGTCGATTGCTTCATGATGTTTTTGATCATGGAGTTGGCTTCCTCTTCTCTCACTGTGCGAAAAGAGCGAACCTTCTTTCTGCTCAGAAGATTTAACACACATATGCCCTTGACCTGCCTCCAATACTCGCCATAAGGCGCCGATGCCACGTCTTTGAAGTCGTAGAGAAATTTCTTAAAGAAGGTGATCTTGGGTCTGCTGGAGAATGCGATGTCATGGGTCTTCATGACCTCAGAGGCAGCCTCAGCCGACGAGACCACCAGGACTGGCATGCTTCCAAAATGGAGCATCATGAGAGGCCCGTGGCGTTGAGCTAAGCTCCAAGTGAGCGATGAGGGTACAACCCAAGCTGGTGAAGGTTCCCGATGACAGGCAGCTTTCGAGGAGAAGGTGGCGATGAGTTTGGTGTGGAGGTGAAGGACCATTTGTATATGAGGATGAGGAAAATGGCCACTAGTAGGAAATATTTGAAGGAAAATGGTTGCAGTAAGCATGATAGGGTTTCAGTTATTATTTTCATCAGCTCCACCATTTTCTTTTCTGTTAATCTCTTCTCCGTCTTCCCTAACCTACAGACAATATATATAAGATCGATCGGGCTCCGACCTTCGACGAAAGAGGTTGGACAGCAATTATCAAAGGAAAAAGAATAAAGTAACACAATAATAATAATCTGTATTGTAGAAATAGACTGAATAAACAAACAAATTACCAGATCAATTTTAATCAAGGAAGCCATAAAATGCGGGAAACCTGGTCGAAACTATTTATTTATGAATTTTGCATTTGTTTTCTGAGAATGACAGCTCACGGACCAATAATTATTCTTTCCAATATTGATTAATTTGTTTTCAACACAATACGTTGGAAATGAAGCAAAACTTATTTATTGATATCTCCGATAAGTTACAAATATGTACATATACATAAGTCAAAATAAACAAACAAGAGGGAGCCTTCACAAAGGTTGCTTAGGAGAAGTCTCAGCAGTCGGTAGAGCCCCAGAAAGAGAAGGCACCGGAGGGGGATCATTCGGAGCCTCAGTACTGGACAGAACCCTAGAAGGAGGAGGCATCGGAGGTTGATCATTTGGAGCTTCATTATGCGGTACAGCCCCAGAAGACGAAGGCAATAAATGCCTTTGGAACAAACCCACAAACCGCTGATGATCAAGTAAAACCTGACCATCAGATTCCTTCATCTGGTCAAGCTTCCTCTTCATGTTTGTAGCATAGTCATGTGCGAGCCGGTGCAACTGTTTATTCTCATGCTTGAGCCTTCTAATCTCCTGTTTGAGACTCATCACTTCAGCCGCCAATGATTCAACTTGGCGGGTTCGAGCAAATAGGCGTTGGGCCATATTAGACACAGAACCTGCACACTGAACACTCAGAGCCAGAGAATCCTTAACAGCCAACTCATCAGACCGTTTGGAAAGTAGTCTGTTATCTTTGGGAGTGAGAAGGTTCCTGGCCACCACTGCAGCGGTCATATCATTCTTCATCACGGAATCTCCAACGGTAAAAGGACCAGTAGGGGATAAGAAGGATGGGCGCCATATGTTGTCTGGAGAAGGCGTGGCTGCCTCTTCAACAAGGTTCAAGTCAAAACGACGGTCGGAGGGGTCAGACATTTTCAAAGGTGTTGAAGAGAGAAGAGGTCGGACAAATCAAGATCTTAGAAGTGCAAGAAGGGAGCTTCTACTGGTGAAGATTCAAGTGTGCTTTGAAACTTAATGCCAGCCTCTATAAAAATCTGCACTCGACGGAGCTTCAGAAATCGAAGAGGCGTCTGCCCAGAAATCGAAGAGGCGTTTGCTTTCTCAAAAGCTGGGCTGCTCAGAGACCACGAGGGCCGATCTCAGAAATCGAAGAGGCGTTTGCTTTCTCAAAAGCTGGGCTGCTCAAAGACCATGAAGGCCGATCTCAGAAATCGAAGAGGCGCTTGCTTTCTCAAAAGCTGGGCTGCTCAGAGACCACGAGGGCCGATCTCAGAAATCGAAGAGGCACCTGCTTTTTTTTTCAGCCTTGTCAGCACTTGTCACATGCGCACTCAGCTTTGCTGAAATTACGGGCATTCTGTTGAAGATTTCTGGTGAAGTAGAAAGCACGTGAATCTTACTGTTCAATCATCCACTTTTCACACGCACCATCAGCTCATGGGTACCACATATAACTTTGCCAAAGATTTTTGACAAAGTTTAGACACGTGAAGCTTGCAGCTCCCACTACATCGCTATGACCAATAATGGTAAAAGAATAGCAAAGAAACAACACTAACAAAGTTTAGACACATAAATTTTGAAGGTCTAGCTATCATATTATTACCCACAAGGGTAAAGGAACATCACCATTGCTGGATAATTGGAAAGTCCCTGTGTGTCAACCTCTGTGCTCCGTGGCAAGGTAGACTAGCAAACATGCCCTACCTTTACTCACATTCGAGAAAACACTCCCAACAAGATTGCTTGCTCCAAAATCGAAAAGGCACCGTCCTCCGAATCTCGAGAGCCATACTCCTAACATGGTTACTTTCTCAAAAATCGAAGAGACCGCTCTCCGAATCTCGAGAGCCAGACTCCCAGCAGGATTGCTCTCTCAAAAATCGAAGAGGCACTGTTCTCCGAATCTCGAGAGCCAGATCCGCGACATGATTGCTTGTTCTAAAATCGAAGAGGCACCGCTTTCTCAACTTCGAGAGCCAGATCTCATTGGATAAAGCTTGTCTGTAATCTTCACACGCAACATCAGCTTTCCAGATACCACATACCACTTTTTCAAAGTGCTCTGACACACGTGAAGCTGGCAGCTCCCACTACCGTGCTATGACCAAGCAGGGTAAAGGAATAACATTACTACTTGTTGTTAGGGAGACTCCTATATATGTTGACCTTCATCCTTAACGGACAGGCAGACCTGCAAAAATGCTCAACCCTTCCTCATATCTGAGAGGGCACTCCCAACGAAGCCTCTCGAAATACTCAGCTTTCTTTCCCCCCGATAATACCTCTGCAAACAAGCTACACCAGAGCAAGAATATCTCATATCATCAGGGTTAAAAGCAAGAGTATCCCATATCATGCTTTTTCCCTGTCTTTTCCTTTGGCCTTGTTCTTACCTGCAAGACAAGGAGAAAGAGAGCAATCAGTCAGCACTTGGAATCAAGCTTCCAGTCAGGAACTGACTGCCTGGAACCCTTTACCTGATTACTTACCTGACATTGCTCTCGAGTACTCATCTTCAACATCTTATGCTTCCAGAGAAGATACCACATCTGCCTGAGGAACCAATAGGGAAAGTAAGAAGGATACAAGGAAGCATGTGGAGACAAGCGTAACAGAACACATGCCGATACATCCACTACTTTGTCAACAGCAAAAGTATCCCATATCAGCAGGGTTGAACGTACTCTAGATTTGATGAACTTGTTTTGACCCTCAAATTCTTCAGTCAGCCTTATACTCTGGAGGAAACCAGAAAACCCTCCAGCCCAGTTCAAGAATAAGCCTGTGGAAAGTTACTTTTTCAAAAGCAAAAGTATCTCATATCATCTATTCTCCTTTTCTTCTCTTTATCCTTCATGTTGCTTGCAACATAGGGAGAATGAGAACAATCAGCCGGAAC